CTAGACGATTTAACTAGACAACTGAACGCCTTGAGACAGAATATTGGTGACAAGAAACCGACCGTAAAGTGCTGGAACTGCGGTGCTGAAGGACACATCCGACGAAACTGCAGAACACCCCAGGGCACGGATGCTAAGACCGCTCCTAACAAACAGCAGGGAAACTAATTAGTGGCCATCTCGCGGGGCGGAGGTTGCCAGATCATGAAAATCCCCAGTTTAAAGCGCTTCAGATTTCTGCAGTGAGAGGCGGCAGTAATGGACTTTTCATAATAGGACATATTAATGGAGTTCCCTGCAATATGACGATAGATACAGGAGCCAACGTTACCATCATCCGAAAAGATTTGGCTCAACAACTGGGAAGCAAACTTATCTGGACGCCGCCCTGCGTTACCCTACAGACTGTCCGGTGAGAAGATCAACATCGATGGAAAAGTAAATGCTAACATCACGTTTGGAAGTGCCGCTTACCATCACACGGCATATGTAGCAGAGATCACTGATTCTTGCATACTCGGATTGGACTTTCTAAGGAAATACAATTTTTCCTTGGACTTTAAAAATAACGAATTGCATTCTACATCTGAGGACATAGCGTTATTTGGGGTCAATGATGAAGTTAAATCTGTCCATAAAATCATAGCACAAGACAATATCACAATACCGGCAAGAACAGAAATTTTACTTCCTGGATCCATAGCCGAAAACAGAAATTTCCGCTACGGCATCATAGAATATCCCAATAACTGTAATAGCCCAAAAGGAGTACTAGTAGCCTCAACACTCGTCGACCTATCCAGAACGGTTATCCCGGTGAGAGTCGCCAATGTAACTGAGAAGGGGAGAATTATTAAGAAAGGTGAAGTGGTTGCAGCATGTACTCCAGTAACCACCGTTGAAAGAAAGAGTAACATCCAAGAATCCGTGTCCTCAGAGAGCATTACATCGGAGTTATTGCAGAATGCGCAATTAAACGATAAAGAGAGGAATGCTGCCGATCGCGTCATTAAAGATCTTCAAGTTGTTTTCTCCCGCTCGTCTTCTGACGTGGGTCGAACTAGTTTGACACAACATAGAATAGATACCGGCGATCATCCCCCGATCAAGCAACATCCAAGACGTTTACCGTTTGCTAAACAGGAAGAGGTACGAACACTCTTAAAGGATATGGAAGAAGGCGATGTCATCGAGCCTTCAGTAAGTCCATGGGCATCTCCCATCGTCCTAGTCAGAAAGAAAGACGGCTCAACAAGATTTTGCGTCGACTATCGCCGGTTGAATGAGGTTACGAAGAAAGACAGTTACCCTCTTCCTAGAATTGACGACATTCTAGACACTCTTTCTGGCAGCAAGTGGTTCTCAACACTTGATTTAAAGAGTGGGTATTGGCAGGTAGAAATACAGCCTGAAGACCGAGAAAAGACGGCATTTACTACGGGACAAGGGCTTTGGCAATTCAAGGTGATGCCGTTTGGACTGTGTAATGCGCCGGCAACATTCGAACGTCTTATGGAAACTGTTTTGAAAGGCCTTTCCTACGAAGCCTGCCTCATATACCTGGACGACATCATCATCGTCGGAAAGTGTTTTGAAGAACATTTAGAAAATCTTAGGAAGGTGCTTCAGAAACTGAAAGAAGCCAATCTGAAGCTGTGTCCCGCTAAATGCAAATTGTTCCGAAAGAAAGTGACTTACCTGGGACATGTCATCTCTGCAGAAGGTGTGCGCACGGATCCTGAAAAGGTATCAGCCGTTAAATCCTGGAAACGTCCCGAAAATGTCCATCAGCTGAGAAGCTTCCTAGGGCTTTGCACCTACTATAGGAGATTCGTGAAGGACTTTTCTTCCATCGCAAGACCCCTACACAAGCTGACAGAGAGCAACCAAAAGTTCTTGTGGACAAAAGAATGCGAGGATGCATTTAACAACTTAAAGGAGGCTTTAACATCTGCTCCAATCCTGACGTATCCTCAGCTTGACCGACCATTTATTCTCGACACCGACGCGAGTAATGAAAGTGTTGGTGCTGTTTTGTCCCAAGAAATAGACGGCCAAGAACGTGTAGTGGCATACTGGAGCAAGTGCCTGTCTAAACAGGAGAGGAATTATTGTGTCACCAGGAAAGAGTTGCTCGCCATAGTCAAAGCTGTAGAACAGTTCCATCACTATCTATACGGCAGAAAATTCCTGCTCCGCACCGATCATGCATCATTGACCTGGCTTTTAAATTTCAAGAATCCTGAGGGTCAAATAGCCAGGTGGATACAGAGACTCCAAGAATATGACATCACTATCCGTCATCGTAAGGGATCATCACACGGAAACGCCGACGCCCTGTCTAGAAGACCTTGCCAAGAAAGCTGCCGATATTGTTCCAGGGTGGAAGCGAAATACGAGCTGCTGACTCCGGTCGCAAGACAAATTACAACATCAACACCGGCTGATCGAGAACCGTGGAGTGATGATGAAGTCAGGAAAGACCAGCTGGAAGACCGCGACATTAAACCCATAATTGATTTAATGGAGTCATCAAACAGAAAACCTACCTGGCAGGACATTTCTATCTGTAGTCCTACAACCAAACAATATTGGGCACTCTGGGATTCACTTCACATTCGAAACGGCGTCTTATACCGGAAATTCGAATCGGATGATGGGAAGACGTTCCGATGGCAACTTATACTTCCAAGATCCCGCATTCCTGATGTCCTTAAAGAGTTACATAGCACCCCTACTGGAGGTCACTTTGGAATAATGAAGACCTTGCAGAGAGTTCGTGAGCGCTTTTACTGGAATAATGCAAAGGATGACGTGCAAAAGTGGTGCCGATCTTGCGATGCCTGTGCAGGTCGGAAAGGACCGAGGAGACGCAGCCGAGGCAAGCTGCAACGTTACAACGTAGGGGCGCCTTTTGAACGTATCGCCTTTGACATCCTGGGACCTCTGCCACGAACTGCTGATGGCAACAAATACATACTCGTTGTCATTGATTACTTCACCAAGTGGCCTGAAGCTTATCCTATTCCTGATCAAGAGGCTGTCACAGTAACTGAGGTAATGATACAGCACTGGATTTCCAGGTTCGGAGTGCCTCTTCAGTTACATTCCGATCAGGGAAGGAATTTTGCCTCGGCAGTAATCAAAGAACTATGCAAACTACTCGGCATTGACAAAACTCAAACGACGCCATTGCATCCCCAGTCGGACGGCATGGTAGAGAGGTTCAATCGAACCATCCTTAATAACCTCTCATTAGTGGTTTCCAGAAACCAACAGGACTGGGACAAGAAATTACCACTCTTTTTACTGGCTTACCGCAGTGCTGTCCACGAGACTACCGGCTATTCTCCATCACAGATGCTCTTCGGTCGTGACCTTCGTCTGCCTTGTGATCTATTGTTTGGCCGCCCTCCGGATGCTCCTTCATCGTCTGAGGAATATATTCAAGATCTCCAGGCCCGGTTTGAAGTGATGCACAACTTTGCACGAGAGCGAGTCAACTTGGCGACGGAGAAGATGAAGACCCGCTACGACACAAGAGCTACTGAACATCAGTTCCACGAAGGAGACAAGGTGTGGTTGTGGAATCCGACTCGACGGAAAGGACTTTGTCCGAAATTACAGTCACCTTGGGATGGCCCGTATACAGTCCTAAAAAGGCTGAATGACGTCGTGGTTCGGATTCGTAAGTCTTCGAACTCTAAACCTAAAGTCGTTCATTACGACAGGTTAGCTCATTACTATGGCCATAGTACGTAATGTAAATAATTGTAAATAGTATCAGACCATGGTCTTTTTGTTTATAAATGTGTATTTGATTTGATTTGTATTTAGTATTTGATTTGCATTTAGTATTGATTGTATTTAGTATTTGATTTGCATTTAGTATTGATTTGATTTGTATTTGATTTGCATTTAGTATTTGATTTGTATTTAGTATTTGTTTTGTATTTAGTATTTGATAGCATTTGATTTGTTTAAGTTAGTTATTGCATTTATTGTTTATATTGTTTGATATTGTAATGTAATGTTTATGCCTCAGTTGCATTTATGCCACAGTTGTAAGTTTAGCTTCCTGTCCAGGGATTGTACTGCCCGGGACGTGCAGTCTTTGGGAAGGGGGCAGTGTTACGAATTTGGTATTTAAAAAGCTAATGTTAGTTCAATTATAAATTAAATGGTTTTATTTCTCGCGCAGTGCAGCGCGTGACGAATATTAAAAGAAAGCTAAGCCGGAAAAAATTAAAAATACAAGAGCGCGTGCGTTAAATAAATAAATATCTCTTTTTGATTTCGAGAAAGTGCTGGAAAATTCTAGCGCGTGATTTTAAAATCTTATAAAAGGAGGAAAACATCTCAGTTTGTAGTAGTTGCTTAGTTTGTTGTTGTTTAGAAAACTGCTCTTGTTGATTGTAGCGAATTCGCGGATTAGCGTTCTTTAGCTGTTTTGAATGACGTTCTATTGGACATTTGAGTGGTTAAAAGATAACTACTGTGAGATATTGTAATACTGCATGATAATTTGAGAAAATTTAAGCATTTTTGTTGTGATAATAATAAATTTTTGTTCATTTTTCATCGGACTTGTGCATTCATTTCATAACGAACCCGTACGCACGCAACAATATTCACATTGTATTTATGTAGTTCATTATTAAGCAAATTCACTATTCTTACATGCTAGCCTAAGCGAGCATCATTTCTCGCTTAGGCAATAATGCTCCTCACGTAACTTTACTTCCTCACGTAACTTTATGAAGAGAATTACTTGTAAAATTTTCTGAAATGAATTTTCCTGTATTTAAATTTCATGATTTATATAAAAATAAGACCCACATTCCACTGAAGAAATTTTATGTTTCCCAGATTTCTTTTAACAGCACTTAAATGAAAGTTTATACCCATAAATTATCATTGGTTAACTTCACTGATAAAATTAATATAATGAACTGATTCTTTTTATTTTGCTCTAACAGTTATAAATTCTGTTTTTGCAGTATGGTCGTGTTTTGGAATTATCCCATGTTAATGATATCAGAAAAGGAGGGGTTCCCAAGGTAAGTTAAACTGTGATGATTTTAAAAATTTCTTTTAAAGTTTAAATTAAATCATTACGTTTTAATAAATTTGTAATCAAATAAATTTCTCCCTGGTTTTGTATCAATTAACACTATTTTTTAACCTAATCAGATTGTCACATTTCAGTGCTAAGAAATATTTAGCAGTTTTTGCCTCCAGTCTCATTAGAATGAGACAAATTTATTAAGGACATTTTCACTGATAAGTATGAAGTACGTCTGAATAGTATAGAGTATGTTTGAATGGAATAAATATTTTATACAATGATCAGAAATACAATTTCTGTACATGGGCTTATTTACATACACTATGATAATAGGAGCGTATACCTTGAAGGAAATATAAGCATTCCAACGAAAAATCTTATTCTGTCATCAATTTTCACCCTCTAGTCTGTGAACTTGGATTGAAAATTTGAGAACTATGTATATCTATAAACATGAATAACACAGTCGATAAAGAATACGTATATCTCTTTGCTCGTAAAACTCGTTTAAACAATAATATTTTGAAATAGCGTAAAAATGCAACTTAAGAATCATCTTTCCCTTTCTCCTATTCCTTCTCTCTATTCTTCTTTTTTCCTAAAATAATCTCAGATCATTTTCTATCACCAAGGACATGCATTGTGTAGTCGTTGATCTGAAAGGATATCGAAGATAGTCACAGCTAAGAAAATGCTTAAGAATATTAAACTAGTTGGATTAGAAAAGAACCTGTTTGAATGTATAAAGGAAGCTGAAGTGAAAAGTATAATTTCATAGCTGTATTTAGTGACATGAAAATTTATAATCTTTTAATATTTAATTTATTAGGTGGGAGAAGTAATGCTACTGTTGTGGAAAAGCTGGTTTTGCCTTTATAGGGTAAAAGCATGAAAAAGGAAAAAGCGAGGTTGTTTTTTTTTTTTTTTTTTTTTTTTTGGCTTCGAACACCAAAATTATTAGAAGAAATGGCGTTTCAAATTAGTAACGGTGCAAGCTATGAATTCGAAACCATAATAAATTTTTTCTGTGCTGAAAAGAAATTGTAAGAATCCATTACTGCTGCTTATATAATAAACTGCTTATTATATTAACAGGTCGCATACGCACGACATTTGTAAAGTGATGCATGCTCGGTGGGCGGAAAATTATTCATGAACAGATTGCAATCATTTGTGACCTTGTTCAGACGGATTACGGAATAATATCTCCCTTACAGTCCCGACGTATTCCCTTGCCGCTTTTCCTCTTTTACGTACTGGAGAAAGTTTCATAAGAATTCATTTTTAGTTGATTGGTTATCTGCAACATTAGGACTTTCATAAACAAATAATCTAGAGATTGGTTGTCGCTAGAATAGGTATACAAATATTTTTGAGAATTTTTGATATCGCAAAGAGTTTTACAGTTCTGTACCCTATTTTATTTATTCTTATGTAATATGTAATTCAGATCCTTCAAAATAAGTATTAATAACAACTCGTGATTTTCAAAAAGCGTCCTGAAACTTCGAAATGTAATCTTTTCAGGTTAATCAAAAGATGCCTATTTAAATTTAGCGTTTGATGTTTTGCGTTATCGAGCAACGCTAAGCATTCTCGATGTATCTTGCTACACCTGTCCTAGATTTAGGGCTCAGTGTTTCCAGCTTCAAACTAAACATTCTAGTGGATACTCTCATTGAAAAATATTCCACTTCAAATTTCTAATGATATCATTCATTTCAAACTGCAAGGATATTGCTTTTGAGCATTGTTTAAAATGTAAATGGAATATGAAACATCATACGATAACTAAGTCGTATCTGAAGTATTCATCTCCAAATTAAATACGTCAGCCACCTGTATGAATAAAAGATATTAGACATTGAAACACATTAACGAATATTTTTGACTCTGCTTCGTTGCAGTTTCACAGCAAACATAATTTTATGATTTATTCATATTTATTACCGTTTCACTAAATTATGAATCTTCTCTAGGATCTTTCAAAATGTGGTGAAGTTTCTTATTCTGTGAAACTAATTGTAAACTATTTCACAGGATTCTCGTTTGCTGACTGATTTGACATCACGAAGTAAACACAATCTGGAGGATGTTTCACTCACCATCTGCAGCGGTACCGACATGGTAAACATCAGTTATACGCATGTTGTGTGTCCTGATCCAGAGACAGCCCAGGTAACTAAAAAGTCATTTTGCAAGATTTGTAAATAAGAGGATAAATCCTTTATTAATTAAGATTAATTTTACTGGAAAGTCTACAAATCTAACTATAATAAAATAGAGAATAATATACATTTTATGCACATTAAAAATACCTTCCATATAAATTTCATGCTACTTTTTTCTTTTAAGCTAAGAAGAATTATTACCATCTCATATCTTAGAAAACAATAGGGTTATTCAAAATGATTAAACCGATGAAAGAGAAAAGAAAAGAAAATATCCAAGTGTTATTTCTAAGGGCTCTGTATGACATCTTTGCTTACAAATACCACGAAAAGACCGTAATCAGATTCTGTCGTACTTCGATCTAACATACCTTTGCTATTGTCCTCACTATACTAATTATGCAGTTTTGAAACCATGCAACAAATTTAGCACGAGTACGATGTCTTTAACATATATCCAAAAGAAAAATCCACACAAGGTAAGAATCGGATCGTAGAAGACCAGGTGTAGAATACCAAGTTATCGAGTGAACTGCAATAGATCATCATGCTCACTAAGTGATCACTTAATTGAAAAAAAAACCTGATATTTCACATCCTAATTCTGATGGAAATCTAAAATTCGTTAGACTTCGTTTTTGTTTGTAGTGTATGAAATTAATGTATTATTAAAAGGTACATAGTTATTTATAATCGTCTGAATTTGGTCTCTCGTTTTGAACATATTATTTTTAATACGGATTCTGTATATTGATAATATTAATTGTTGTACTTCTCAGTATCTGATTTAGAAAAATTTCTTGCAGAATGAACGTTGCGAATTTTTAAATTCGACAAGATTCTGTTAGGAAAACAAATAAGTTTTGCTTAGGTATCATATGCAGCTATAAGCATATGTACTAGCTAATGATTTGTGAAACATATTCTTTTACCTTTTTTGGGATATCATAAACTTTTAGTCTTAAAACATTATATTTGAAAATGATATTTGAATTTTTTCTACTTTATCCTTTTTTTCGAGGGCATTCAGAAGAAATTCTGAGCTGTCAGAAGTTCAGCAGTGGATGAGAAATCACAAATTTGTGCACAGTTCAACAAAGCATTTGCAACTGCGGGGTTCATATTGAATCAGATGTCACTCAGTCATTGTTTTGAGTAAAGTCACAAGTCCACACTACTGGCTATATGCTATTCAAATTATTAATCAGAGAGATTATAATTACACTGATTAAGAAAAATCACAAAATAGCGATAACTCATGCAACAACAAGCCAATCACTATAAAATTTGAATATGTTGTCAAATAAAAATTGTTGAGTGAAACTGTAGTATGCAAATTAGCGGAAATGCAATTGTCATGCGTCATCTGCAAGCAGCATAAAATTGCATGCTTCAGAGAAAGCCTGTAAATTTCGCTGTCAATGCTGGGATAAGAAATTTGGGATATCCAATCTGTAACAATGATTAACAGGCATCGTTTGTGCGAAGAACTGCGATGGAGAGCTATTGGGAGACTAGAGGCAAGACGAAGTCAGATGGAAATAGCCAGATGGATAAATGGTTAGTCCTTCTCTGGCTCATAGACTTTGACAACTATTTCTAACCACAGATTCGGCATCCAGGAGGTTCAGCCAAGAACGGCTAACCTTTGCGATAAGCACCGATGACCAATATTTGCTGTTATGTGCACTTAGGAATAGAATAGCAACTGCAACTCAACCCAGATCCTTCCTTGCTGCAGTCACCAGAAGGTCGGTATCACTGTCAACCATGCGTAGAAGGCTTCAAGAACGAGATCTGTAGGCGATGTGACCAACCATTTGCGTGCCTTTCACGACACTCTATAGAAGATAACGTTTGAAGTGGGCACATTAACGTATCCACTGGACTGCTTATCAGTGGAGAGATTTTATCTTTACGGATTAGTCCAGTTTTAGCCTACAAAGCGACAGTAGGCGTTATTTGATTTGGAGAGAACATGGAACCCGTTATCATCCATCAAACGCTCGTGAAAGAGATGTATGCGGAGAAGGCAGTATCTTTGGGATGGTATCTCTTTAGGGGAAAGCTTCCATGTCTTTCCACGTGGAATTGTGAATACTCAAGACATCCTTAATGGTCATGTGCGCCCTTATGCCGGGGCAGTAGGTGAGGATTTCTTGCTATAGGCTGACAACGCAAGACCGCACAGGGCTCGCATCGTGGATGACTATCTTCAGCAGTAAACAATTCAGCACATGGAGTGGCTAGCTCGATCACCGAACCTCAATCTTATCGAGAATGTTTAGGATGCTTTAGGAAGACGTATAGCTGCACTCAATCCTCCTCTTCAGACCCTTGTCACTCTTGCAAGTGCTTTCCAAGAGTAATGGATGTCACTTCCTGCGGAACTGATAGACCGTATGATTGACATTATCATGTATCGCTGATTGTGCTGTATTGCTTTTAGGGGAAATCAAACTCCTTACTGAAGGTAATTTTCCTAAGCCGAACTGGCACATCTGAATTGTTCATTTTATACATATTCTAATTTCTATAGCACCATAATTGTTTAGTAAAATGTAATTTTATAACGTAATATATGTTGTATACTATATAGTTCAGTTTCGTTAAGTTCAACATCTAACTTTTTGAGTTATCGTCATTTTTGTGATTATAGCTTAATTAACGATAACCAGTGTATTATCCTTTTTCCATCCTTTTTATGGTGCTCAATATTTTGAAAAGAATAAAATATAATTTACGAGAAGTTGACAGAAAATGTTTGATTTCTACTATCTTTAGAATTTTTACCAATAGCACTGTGACACAGAAATTTAAATCTATATTCAAACCTATGTACAGAGAAAACGTTCCTCTTCAAAAAATAAAGAAAGTTAGCAAACATCTGTGTTTCCTAAAGAATAGATGACAGCATACAAAAATGGATCAATCTGTTCACCAATTACTTCGATAGTGAACCTACTTGTGAGCTTAAGATTGATGTGTCACTTATATCTCTGAAATTAGATCAGCATTAGATTTTACAAGGGTAGTTTCTGATGGTATACCGAGATTACACAGTGGATTGCAGCACTAAGAACTTAGCTAACAAATGTTGTTGCTAATATTATGCTTTCGCTGATTTGGGATGATTGATGTGATCCAAAATAGTACAGATCAACTTAAAGTGTCGTCATGCAGTCTCATTCAAGCTGAATATCGCACGTCTAAGGAGCGTCACAGGTACGGGTAAAAGTGGATGAGGCAAAAATTCATCTTTAATTAGCTGTCAGGTAACGCCTTTATGCACTGACCATCTTAAGGGCATCTATCCAATGGCTGCTCTGAGTATTCGCATTGGATACCCAACCACACGCAAGTCTACAACCGCTGGCAGAGGTGCCACCTTCAATATCCAGCAGGCACGTCAGGAACTACCAGATGCAGTATTCATTTGATTCAAGGAAGAGGTTAAATTATTTACATTTACATTGTTGCTTTGGTTTGTTTGTTTGTTGTGGGAAGTAGCTCGCCCAACTGACTCCAAGGTGATTGTTGCCCTGGTACAATATTACTTGGTACATTGATCAAATTAATTTGTTCTTAATTATAGAGTAATACATAAAATTTAATCCTAAACCAATATAGTCCTTGATGCAGTGCTAATTACAGTTCTAAGTATAGTCCTAATATAAAATGTTTTGAATAAATAATAAGATCTTAATACAATTAGTAATAAATGAAACAAAATACAGAATTAAATACAATCCTAAAACCATATTTCATTTAAGAATAATTGTAGCAGTGAAACGATGCGACAAATATTAGTAATACAAATATTAGTAATACCATTAGTAATAATAATTTAATAAAATATTAGTAATATTAATATTAGTAATAATATATTAGTAATGTTATTTTATATTACTTCACAAAAGTCCGTGCTTTCACCTGATAATTTGTTCATGATGCTGTTCATTTTGTTGACTGGCTGGAGTTTTAATGGTAAGTCTTAAATATTCATTCAATATTTTGAGGATGCTTCAGATGAAATTCCTTGGTCATTAGGCATTGGAAGTCATTGTTGTCTGGGTTTTCCCATTCTCCACATTGCAAACAAATGTAGAAGAAATATTTATATCGAAGAAATATACGGGTAACGGCCCATGACCTTTTACGAACTCGGTAAGAAGCAGATTGTAACTTGTTAGTTTGTTTGAAATTTTTTAGAAAAAACATGTGTTCTCCTCCCTTCTGGCGCGGAGCCTCCTTCTTGCTATTAGCTCTCCAGAGTCGTTTTCTTCAATTTGTGTTTTAGGTCAGAGCGCGACCAAGGGATGTTGACAAATGAACGTATTTTTATTTGAGCTGCTTGCTTTGCAAGTTCATCTACCTTCTCATTTTCTTGGTGGCCGGAGTATCTTCTTATCCTGGATATTGTGCAGGTGAACTCAGAACGGGGGCATCTGGCGTCTACCAGATGTAAGCAGGATATTGAGCAGTTGATTTCGATTTAGACTGAGATTTTATTAATATTCTATACAAGGGACTTTGATTGCACCATATGCACTTTATCATTGACGTCATGGCACTACTCTGAAACAAAGATTGAAGAACAGTTCTCGTTGGTGTTGTGCTGAATTGTGTGACCAAGAAGAATCTAATTTTTTAAACAACATTAGCTACGTGAAACGCATGGAAGAGATGACTTTTTTTGACAGCTTAAAGCCATTTATCCATTTTTCCAATTTATTTCTGAGCAGGTATAGGTAGCTGCGTGTGAAGGTGTGCTAACCTTCTCTTGATAGACATAGATCTGTTAGCGAGTTTATATAGTCTATAAACGCTGCTAATATCAGAATGAGCTTACTTGAATATGCGTAGAGTAAATATATGAAGTAAATATATGAACAGTAAATATATGAATCTTTTCATACAGTTCCTACATTCTGAGGAGGATGGACGATATCAGCATCTTAATTCGTCTTTTATCTGAGTAGCTATCATCCCTTGTCAGTCGAGAAACTTTTCTCTTGGTTCCAGGATATCTCATCTTTACAATACATAGATTTAAGCTGCATGGAATTTCTGTAGGATGCTCTTTCAAGTGAAATATTGTACTCATTATTCTAGAAGAGTATCTAGACGGACAATGTTGAAATGGATGTGTTTTAGTAATTTCTTCCATAAAACTCTTGAGCATTTGGAGTCGATTCCTCTGAATTTAGTACAGCAAGGCTGCAGTGTATTAGACGAAAGTTCTTAATGTTTTGCCTTTTATCGAACTAGCATTTTTTAGCAGTGAGCTGTTACAAAAGAAAATATCGACAATTATTTTTCTGGAATCAAAGTTCACATAATTATCTTAATCTCTTTGAAGCTTTCAATACTCTTGATAATCATACATGTTCAATTAATTTAAACTGGTGCAGTGAATACAAAGATACCTGTAAAAGGTTGAATAGTAACTTGGATGTGAGTTTTTATTTTTCAAACATATTTCAAAGCTATTAATTAAAATAAGGCAAAAATTATGAGAGATTTTTCCTTAATAATGTATACCAATATTAGGTTAACGAAGAATATACTTTATTGAATAATAATGTAAATATCAGTGAAAAATTTTCTATATATTTAAGGAAAGATAATATTCATTTGAACAACTTTATTTAATTCTGTACAATTACTTTAAATCTAAATAGCAGCTTGTAAAAGGAAATTTATTTCTTCTCTAGGTGTGGCAGAATGGTCTACGAGCTATAACTAACAACATCAAAGCCAATAATGTGTGTCCTTCAACTTGCCTAAAGAAACAGTAAGATTTATTGAAACTCTTTAAATATTTATTGATATTTGAGCGCACATGAGTGTTGTACAGTTGTTTTTGTGTTTAAATTGAATTGATTTAACAGACAAGTAAATAAAACATATAAAATATAATGAAAGAGAATGTTAAATTTGCTGCTATTACAGACCAAAGGACACAAAATGGAAAATATTATAAAATATCTTGAGCTTTTCTGTTTTGTAATTCCAGTAGAACTGCGGCGTAGTCTCTTGTGGTATTGATAACGAGAAGATCATGGACTGACTAGATAATGAGAGGATTATAGACTGCAACAGAGTGTGGTTGTTTTTGGAGCTTTGTCTGATGAATCAATTTAATGCTGAAAGATGGTACATTGCGTTAAACATTGCCATCTCTGATATATGGGTTGTTAAAACATTGCCATCTCTAATATATGGGTTGTTAAAACATTGCCATCTCTGATATATGGGTTTGAACAATAGTAAGACCTGCCTCATAATCCTGCGCGTATATTTTCAAGTGATTGCCGCTACCCGCGCTCTTTGTAGGTTGATCTGAATATATGTTATTGCCCTTGTTGCCTGTTTTTATAACTGAAAGGTATTCATATATAGTGTTGCGTTGTTGCCGTATAAATACCTGTGTTAATACGAGCTTTATGTAGAACATACTGGGTGTTCTTTGCTGTGGTTGCTTTCTGTGCGGTAGTTGTTTTCTCAGCAGTTGGTACATCTTGAGCATTGTTCTCGGCATTATTATATGATGTGGGATTCTGAACAGTAGGCGCAGTAGATTCTGTTTTTGCTGTCTGGTTGTGTATAACCCAGTTCCTGGCATCTTAAGGAAAACATGTTTCCAGAATGTCTAGTGATTCTGTACGTGTTCCATCCAATCAAAAATTTCTTGCTTCGCATAAATGTATGGAATGCTTTTGAGGTACATCTTGGGCATTGTTCTCGGCATTATTATATGATGTGGGATTCTGAACAGTAGGCGCAGTAGATTCTGTTTTTGCTGTCTGGTTGTGTATAACCCAGTTCCTGGCATCTTAAGGAAAACATGTTTCCAGAATGTCTAGTGATTCTGTACGTGTTCCATCCAATCAAAAATTTCTTGCTTCGCATAAATGTATGGAATGCTTTTGAGGAGCATTCGATAATCCATTTGACATTGTGGCTGTAGGTTGTGAAACGATGACTGACTTTTCCTGTGCTTAGGTGAGGTTAAATTCTGTGGCTAGAATGCGCTCTAGTTTTTCTGTATTGTAGCTGCTATATATTATGTAACGCGCACCTCAGCTTTTTTGTACTGGCGTTTTTGCGTTCACTAACTGCGCAGATAAAAGAAGGATAAAATCCAATCCTCTTTTAGGGAATTTCCCATACTTTTAAGGTTCTCTTTCGTATGGTACTCAAATGCAGTGCCTTCATTCTGAATTGGGCAAACAATTTATATTTTAACACAGAAGATCTGCATCATTGTTACTGGGGAAAATTCTTGTCGTAGTTAATCTCTCATTTGGTCATTTTTGGCATGTATCACCAGAGCTGGCTTGAAATTTTTGATCGCTTCGGAATACGTTTTTTTTTTGGTATCACAGTCTTGCTTTTGGTGGTTGCGCTGCAACTTCTCTGATTATTATGCCTGTGTTTGTGTTGTACGCAGATTTGAGAGAGCAAGTGTCTTCAGTACTTGCAGGAGTTCTTGCTCCGTATATGGGTCGAGAAAGCGTCCTTTACGTTTCTTCTTGGAAACTTTTATAGCTTTGTGATATAGATTCAGTATTTGGGGTTCGTAAGTATTACGAAAGGACTGTTGAGGCTCTTCTGAAGCTGCATGAGCGCCCCTTTTTAGGCCTTTCTGAGATGATGTTTGATTACTACAGAGGCTGTTCACACATTTTTTAGACGATGTATATGGTATTCACAAAACTAAATTACATAAAATTCTTGTGTTTTAAATGTTCTATTTGACATTCCTTATTCTTAACTATCTTTCGACACCGCAATTTCGAGGATAATAACGCCTTTTGAAGTGGCAGAAGAGGTATTCTATCCCATTCCTCCCGAACAGCTTTCGAGAGTCCTGTTAGGGTTTTGGGACAACGTTTGGATATTGAAGATTTTAAAAGTCTAATAGCACAAAAATCCATAGGTGACACATCGGGAGATTTAGTAGGGGTATCAGTGAAGGGTATGGCCTTGATACCAGTTTTTGTTCCATTTCGTTTAGGAAATTTACAGTGGACTTTGATGTGTGACTGCTAGCTTTATCCTGATAGAGTCTCACAGATTTATGGCACTGTGGGTAAAGCGATGGTATTTCATTCAGAAACATTGGCGATAAAATATGTTCCTGATAGTATTTGGAGTTAATCTTGACATTTTTTTTTGCACTCTCTGTATTTTTAACTTGCCACTATAAGAAAAACCAGCAACAATCGTGAATCCCTTAGAAAAACTTTCTTTCGATTCTTTGAACCATGTACTTAAATTTTTTTCTCCCCTTTTATGATAATAAATGGCTCTTTTTTTTTTGTTACAATTATTTAAATACACCCATGCTTCATCTACTGTGACAATTGTTTTCCATTTTTCTTTGGATAAATGTTTCTCATATAGAATTCTGCAGCGTGTCCTGCGTTGAACGATATGCTTTGGAAGAAGACGATGCACATTGCATTTTTTCCGCTTTCTTAAGATTTAAATCAACGTTTATCATTTTTTTTTTACAGTGGACACCGCAGCATTTTGAATGATTTTGCAACTGTCCTTTGACTAGGGGGATTTCTTTTAACATTAAACAAAATACTTTTGCAATAGTTGAAGATGTCCGTTTTTTCCTTGGATACTTGTTTGGAATTTTTGTTGCCAATTGAGGCTCCAATTTGACAATTTTTTCCCTTTCTTGTTGATGATATTACCTATCGACACTTTAGATATCACAAAACCATGACTCTCACATCGTTTTTGGATAACGGAGTATGCATATTTCTCTTCGGAAAGAGCGTAAATGTAGCCTTCGAACCACTGCTTTGTTAAATTCGCCATTTTGAATAAAACAAAACTTTCAAGCCACAGACAATAATTTTGACTTTTAAAAACATAGTACAATTACAATTACTTCTTTTTCAGCAAACGATTTTTTATTACCGCTTACCAAAATCGTCTAAAAATTGTGCGAACAGCCTATGTATTGTAATTTCTGTTGTAGCAATTAGATAATACTGGAGTATGTTAAGTACTTTTGAATTGTCCTCTTAGTTCAGTTCATTACTAATAGTGGTGAATGTTTGGCAATTAACTAGGCTATATTATTTCAGTCATTTGAATACAGTCAGTTTCTTATATGTACAATTCAATTACAATCTTCAATATTGCAAATAAAAGCATACATGATAAAAGATATTATCAATAAGAAAAGTAAAGTAATAGGTATAACATAACAAAGTATGCTAACTAAAGTGATATAAGGACTGTAATTAAGAATACAACTGCAACAAATTCGAAATGTAAATCTTACAGACAAAATGCTGTGATTCAGAAAATCATTGTGAAGTTTTTTCTTTGCATACATAGTTATAAAACAGTGAAATACGTTTACAGGCTAACAGCTGCTTGTGCTGCCAAATTCTAATGAAAGAAATATAAGGGCGCTTAGAAAACACCAGGAAAGAATTCAGATTGCAGCTAATACTAATTAGGGTCTAAAACAATATAAAAGTAAACAGACATAAGATTATCAAAAGGGATAATATTCAGTCATAAGGGATAATAATTATCATAAGGGATATAGAAACTGATATTAAAACTGAATTAAACCGTAATAAAGTTAGGAGAAAATTACAAAAAATACACCAGCACTATTCAGAAGATGGCGTTTGGGAATGCGCATGCTTTGAAAGTTTGAGTACTTATCTTAATGTGTATGTTATTTGCAAGGAAGTAACATAAAATGACGAAGATAGCTGACAGAAGTTTCTAGAGAATATTTTTTAGTGTTAAGCAGGAGTTTGTCACACGATTATTAGCTTTTAGAAGAATTTAGAAGGAAACATTTGCTTTTTGAGCCAAATGCATTAAAAAAAAATCTTATCTTTCTGTTGACGTTCTGCCGATATAAATCCAGTGAGAAATTTAGAAAATTGACACAAAAATATATTAATTAGAAGTGAAATATCTACACGTAGGTAATCACTTTGCAGACTCGGTATTTACAAATTCACAGAAAGAACCTTAGTCGGAAAGTTAATATAAACCAGAAAACAGAGCCAATAAAGGAACGTGGTTCCCCATTCAAAGGCTGTCGGGCGGCTACTTCTATAGCCCGATGGTGGCGCTGATATCAGCATAAGAAGTGCACGGAAATTTCTATCTTATTATATAGGGCATTTTGTTTTTAGTTTAACTTAATTTGAAATGCAGGGCAGCGAAAACAACAATAAAAATGATTTGTGTTCGTCAAAATATCTTTATTTCAAATTTAAATCCTGCAAAAAATCTGATTTTTTTTCATTAAAATAATAATACTTTTCTAACGTCAGAAGGGCAGAAGAGCGAGCAATAGAAAATGATATATAACTTTCTGAATAGCATTCTTCATCTACATTTTCAAAATGTTCAAAAGGAAAGAGAATAAGAGTATTATATCTACCAATCACTATAAAATTAAGCATCTGTGAGTATGTGAGTTCATGGCATTGCGTAGAAGCGGACTGTAGTAAAAATGGACGGACACATGGCTTCCAGACAATCAAGATGTAAACCTCAGCGAATTTCGTTTTTTCAAAATTAGATTTAAAATTTTTTATTCAATGTTAAAACAATTTTTTGCAGATATTTTCACTTAAAGAACAAACTAAAAATCTCAGAATATTATTGTTTACCGCATCGGATAGAGCAGAAAAAGTCTTTTAAATGAAGTTTACACCGATTTTCTTAACCTCGTTTACTGATTCTTGAGCAATTTTTAAAGTTAATTCAAGTTACTCGACATTTTCAATCATTTTACGTCCATTAACATCCAAAAATATATGTATTATAAAGTTTTGAATTTTTCTCCGACATTTTTGAAACAAGAATGGTAAAAAATATTAACAGGAGATATTCTAGAATTTTTATTTACTATACTTGATTTTAAGCAGTAAGGGAAATTCCTGTTCTTCCTTGGGCATCGTGTGATTTCCCTTGAAAACATGACTTTGAGGATATGTTATCATTATAAGTTACACTATTTGTTTTCGTATATATATGTCTCTCATATGGATTTAATTTATTTTCTTATTAATCCCAACTGCTGCAAAGAATTATTTGCGAAGAAATTATGTTTATTTTAGAAGTAATCTGCTATTTTTTAAATGCTTTTTTTCCTCTTATTAAGATAGGTTTTGTTTAGTTTTCATTTCATTTTATTTTATTAATTTCATTTAAAGAATTAGTGTTTATTATTTAACTGATTAGTGTTTATTATTACGCTGATTAGTGTTATTTAACTAATTAGTGTCTGAAATACTGCAATGAAACCTACCGTGTTATTTATACTTTTCTTCATTTTATAAGTTTATATATGTATTTGTCAGCATTTTAGGAAGCACTTCCGCAGAGAACCGGTAAATGTAAACATTGCCAACTTTCGCGATAATAGTTCAAACCTGGTAACCCAGCGTATTTATCGTATTCGCTTGTTAGAAGTTTTCAACCATTCCTCTTGCGTTCATTTTGTTGAATTATCACTGTTGGTGTTCGCATTTGCAGATTTAAATTATTCTTCTCTTATTTATTATTATTTTTTCTGAATTTTTAACAACGAATAGATAGAAATATTTTCGCATAATTAAAGAAGTTTTCGTCGAAAGATGCCGGTTCTCGGCTCGTCAGTTCGGGATCAAAGGAAGAAAATAAGGAGGGAGGGGTGAATGCTAATTTGTAACGTGGCTGTTCACGTTATGTTCTTAATTATTAACAGCTGTAAGCGTGCAGAACCGTGAGGTTTCCAACCCCTATAATAATTTTAAAATGTATAAAGTTCTAGTTTTATTAACAATGCTACTGAAGAAAATTTGATTACTGTTGAAGGTTATTTGTATTGTGAAATATATTATGAAAAAGGACAGGTATTTGTTTCAACGTAAAATGCTTTAAGCTGTACGCAAGTAACTTAGAAAAAAATGCTGAAATCTATGTAAATGGATAGGTCATGCATTCATTAATTTATTACATGGGCATGGCTCTTACCGAAATACGTCAATCAACAGGCAAAGTACTTAATAATAAAAAAAGACACTTGTAATAGAAATATTAGTATTCTATATGAATTAGAGAAAATACATATGAGTATGATGTAAACGTAAGGATTACTAATTGTTATTTTTTAAATGAATTTTTAAATCCCGTTATGTTTAATACATTGTTTTCTGTGCTAACTTGAATTTGATACAAATTTATTTTCGTATATCACGTTTAACCTGTTAGTTTTACATCTACATACTTATTATCTGTGAATTTTTACTACATTATCTGCTAACTTCAATTTACATACACTAAAAACCACGTTTACAAAATATCACGCTTACGGCTCTGCTCATCCAAAGAAATATATATTCTTTGGCTCATCCTCGATGAGCCGCGAGCTTGGCGAGTAAAAATGCAACGACACCAACGGGTTCTTTCCCGAAGCGCCAACGGGTTCTCTGCGGATGAAAACCCGCATTTTATTTTAAACGTTAATCTTCTTAATCTTCCTGAGACATGTTTTATCATATTCTTCATTTACTATTGAGATTTTTATTCCTTTTTGGCGTTGCTTTCGCGGCTAACCGTAGCTCTGCTTTAGGTAATTGGTCAGAACATGTGCATGCCAGACTGAAAGCTCAAGTGGCTGGTATCATATAATTTAATAAAAATGATTCAAGAAATGTTAATATTATATTTACAATTTAAAAATTCGTTATATTTTAAAATGATCCTTAGAAAACAACATTATAAAAATAAGAAACCCAAATTTTAGAAAAGGGAAGCACATGAGCATTTTACTGCAGTATTTCAGAAGAGAAGCGAAAAATACTACCGTGAGCGAACGAACACTAATAAATGAATATGACAGCAGATCACTGTTTTCTAGAGTTACATTTAACAATATATTTTTAATTTATCAGATCAACAACTATTTATCATTATTTAATTTATGTGGCATTTGAGAATAAACAAAATGTTTACTTTAAAATGACAAAAAGTGTAAGGATCTTAAGTTTTACTAACGTTTATTTTATTTTAAATCTTTACTATCACTTCTTACTTTCTACTTCCGGCCAGAATTAAAAGCTTTAACTTATTTATGCAAATTTGTCTTGCGAACGCCAAGTAATTAAGTTGTGGCTTTTTGCCAAGCAAGAGAGAGGAAGGAGCTATTAGAAGCAGGCCGCTTGCCATAGTAGTTTTACTCGGTTGCTGGTTGCCTTCAAGGCCAGAGGTTTAATCCTCTTGATAATTTTAAACGTATCGTAGTGTTAGCAGTTCTCTGTACTACATACGGCTTTTGTTAATATACGGCCAATCTTGGAGTAGGCACTTGTTTGATTAATTCAAAGTTAGTTTAGTTAGATTTTTAGTTAATATTTTTTATATTCTTACGTTCAGACCACAAGTGGTTGGTCTCTGTATTCCGAAGTCCGGAATTCATTGTAAAGAGATAAAAATAAAGGGTTTCGTATACCCTTCCTGTGTGTATTGTCTACTTCCCAAATTTATTGAACATAGCTTTAGTAAGCTCCCTTTTCCGAGTCAGGACAGTAAATGTTCCCTAAGCAAGTAAGGAGGAACACAGAACCTGATAAAAGAAACGAAAAATTTTGCGGTGTTTCGTTTGAAAAGATCTGTAAGCTAAATCATAGTAGTTCTTTAAAAATTATTACATAAAAAGTAATTTAACGCTCATTATTATAAATAAATTCCAAAAAACCTTTATTTGTTCTGTATATTTTCTGTCACATTTCTTTCTTGTACTAAGTAAAGTATAACGAATTAAACGAATAACAGGTCGTAATTTTACGTTTTTCAGGTTTACGAGATTTGTGAGAGTTTAGGATTGAATTTTCTTCTGATAACATTTCATGTATTACTATATTGAAAAAAAAAAGTAATATAAATACTTATGCTTGTAAAATGAAATTCTTAAATTGTAGATGAGTAAGAATGATGAGGATTGTGAGTAAAAACGGAGATTTAAATGAAAATGAAGAATTAAAATTCATATACGTATCTAAATTATTTTTCTTTCGCAGTTGGATGAAAATGGGCTTTTTGGTAGATCCAAATGGGAAAATTCCAGTTAGAAGGTGAGTTCTGTAATTCAGTATATTTCACAGATGTTCATAAATTTTGTGTAAAATAATATTTAAATCATGAACATTTAGTATTATTACTGAAATCATGAAATAATAATAAAAACTTACCATTAATTCTGTTTAAAATAAAGCTCATTAATGATATATTTGAAGGTTCAAATAAAAGACGGTTGATGAATTTTGATAGAACGTTCATTGCTTATTCATATTAAAACATTGTCAGGCTAAGCAAGTCAAAATTTTCTCTCATGGGTATTTAACAGCTGAGATTAAAAAATATGGTTCTAAAAATACTGCACTTAACTATGAAGTTGAGCTACGCAAAAGCCTTTTTGTAGTTTTTTCCAAATGTAACGTTAATAAGGGACAGTGTTTCTTGGAAACCTACTGTTATTACATTGCGATTGGAATTACATATTATAGGATCAGTATTGAAGGGAAGCATGTGGTCACCTTTTTTTAAATATTTTATGCAGTAAAGGTAGTTCTGAATTTAACATCGCTTTCTAAACAAAGAAATACGCAGTTAATTTCTATTGCAAGCTACTTGTTATATTTTGACCCTTGTTACAATTTTATGGACTTAAAGTTCCTGATGATGCAGCATAGTTAACCATTGCCTGTTAATTGTTTTCTACAGTACAGGCGCTGCTATCATCCCTTACAGATTTGCTCATACGCTGCACGGTCTTTCTCATTTTTTTCTGGCGATTTTACTATTTTGCATGTATTTTTCTATTTTTAATATAAAGTTAGTGGTATAGATGGCAGTTAGATATCCACTAATTGGTAGTTTGTGGAGTTTATTTTGTTCTATTCCGATTAGTTCAAAAGTACACACTTGTTTCACGTTATTTGCACGACTCGACGAATTCTGATCTTTCAGTGATTAACTTTTCGTGTATATTTTATTGTTGATTTGATATCATTATTTATGTACAAGAGTTAAAACTGTTTTTTAACCGTAAAATAATGTCTGATGGCGACCGTATTAAGCTTATTTCTGGAGATTCAAACTGCTATACGGTATCAGAATCTGAAATGTCTGCAAATAAGTCTGGTGGTATTAAAAGTTCTTTAGACGACTTCGATCTCACTGTAAAGACATGGCAGTAACTATAAGAATTTGCAATTTCGATTGTATCTTATCATTTGATTGACTGAGAGGCATGTAACAGTAGTTGACAAAGGAAACTTCTTCCTGGATGCTTACCAGCTGCATACCAGCTGCATTAAGAGCAAGACATTTTTGGAGGATTTTTAGAGGACATTTTTGATTTTACCTGCAAAAAATAAGTTAAGCTCCGCAGACGGTGTGATGTGTGTTCACTGACCTAAATGACAGCAAGAAAAGAATTAGAAAAAATACTCGGTATTTTTATGTGGACTGTGACTTTACCCATTTTTCAAGGTATATCACATTTATTCAGATCATTGGAAGAAAAAAAGGCTAAGTAAATGTAATTGCAATCGAGCATAGCTGTAAACTAATTGCATCTCTTTTTATACCCAACCCTAAATGTAACTTTCCTGGTAAGTGATAAGAAAAGACAACTTCCAGGGAAAGCCGTATTTTATTCGCTGCAAAACGGTTGTTCTAAATGCTTAAAAATACTATAAATATTAATTTAAATAACATTTTCCTGCTTATAAATGTAAAATGAACAAAAGAATGTGGTAAAAAAATGTGAATTTTTAGATCGAATTCGGGAGGGGGGAATGAAACAGTTAAGTGGTAGAAAGACCCTGACTGTCAGCACGATATCCAAATCCTTGATAATATACGGGTTTCAAAAAATTTTCAATAAAATATTTGACTTATAACCTGGTTTAAAAACATTGAAAAAATAACTTTTGCGCGTTACTTACATAATGGTTAATTTCTTTCTGCAGTTGGACGTCTTCTCGAATGAGGCATAAAGCATTAAGAATTAAAGGGCGATTAAGAAAATAAATTAAGCTTAAAGTGGTATACGCGCGTTAAACAGTATTAAAAATGCTAATTTTATGCTAAAATATATTATTTTTCTCCCCCATTCCTTCTTTTCTGAAGCAGCAACAGAAAACTATAGTTTGGAACGCAGGTATTTTAAGGTAACTCTAATGTATATTTGGATTCATGTTTTACGGAAAGAACAAAATGTAAAATATTCAAGATTTCAGAAATTGAATACTTACCAAAATTCCAATTTAAATAGAAAAACAATATGTATTTCTAAAACATTTCCATTGTTGTTGAAAATGTACTTTGTTTTCTTGTAGAATAGCGCAGACGTTCGCTTCTGGAAAAACAGAGAAAGTGGTTTATCAGTGCCTTGCAGATGTGGGATTGCCCAGTGGAAAAGTAATTTGTTATTTATTCTTCTAATAAATTTTCAATTTGAGTTTATTTGATTTAAAGTTACATTTTGCATCACTGCATTCATAAAACCCGTAACCACAGAGTCACTACAGGGGACTATATGGGCTGTAATCCCTGACTGATTTGGTATTAGATTAGCATAACATATTACGTTTCCAGCCAATGGAATTAAAAACTAAAAGTACCTCTTGCCCTTATACTATGCGGAAGAATTGTGAAAGGTGCTCAATAATAACAGCTGAAACGGCGCAGCTGGACGCAATAAATTTAGAACCTTTGAGATGTTCTGCCATATGATATCGTGGTTAGATGTTTAATTTCAACCCCATTTTCATACAGAAAGAAATTCTGTATGTTATATAACATTGTTAAGTCGAATATTTTTCAATTCAATGAATTCTCTAGTCTCAGTAAATTCACTTATGTTACTATAAATTTACTTTATATAGTTATGACAAATTCAGAATATGACGAATTAAAAGTTTGACTTATCTTTCATATTTAGAATGATGTCATTGAACCTGAAGACTTCACAGCTGAGAAGTTTTACCAAATTTATCATAAGATTTGCCCAAGAAATGATATAGAAGAGTTATTTCAGTCAATGTAAGTATACATCTCCTTTTTTTATTGAACTGATAATGTGCTTTACTTAATTAAATCAAATGTTTTTTCAGTCATAATTAATGGACATTTGATAATGAATTTAAACTGGTTTTAATTAAGTTACTTAAAATTTATTTTAATTAATTAATATTTGAAAGACTTTAGAATTATTAATTATCTACAAAAATTTCAATTGTGTTTAATAGTTAGCAAATATTTTCATATAAATTTTGTTTGAGTCCTCGCGATGGCACACTTTTCTGCATTCTAGACAAAATCTAGAAATAGTTCTTATAGAGCATAGATGACGCGATAAATTAAACTAGCCTGAGTAGTTGCTTTAAAGTAGACAGTTGCTTACTGAATCCGTATTGATCTGATGGAAATATCAAAAGATATGGATTCATTCTTTTTAAGATAGAGTGTTCGTAAATTTTGCTGAGATTGGAAAGCAAACTGAAAGGGCAAAAATTCTCCACTTTAGTACTGCCCTCTCCAGGTTTGTCGAGAATAATGCCCTGTTTTTATTCCTTCTTATGTTATTTGGAATCCCAAATAATAATTTAATTCTTTGTAGGCAAATTTGCATTTTTCAACGTTTACTTTCAGTCTTGCATTTTCTATTGGTAAAAACACTTCCCAGAAATCTTTAACGTGTTCTTCCAACGATTCTGATATTAATATTATGGCATCCAAATAAAAAAAGAAACGAATTTTTACTCAATACTGGTCTTAATATGATATTCTTTTCCTGCTGAAACGTTGTTTGACTGCCGCTCAAGCTAAATGGCAGACGAAGAAATGCACAAGTGCTTAATTTCGTAACAAAAGCCGTCTGGATTACATTCTTGGGTTTAAATGTGATTTAGAAATAACCTGATGTTAAGTCGAATGCTCTTGTATACTAAATGATAAAAAAGATCTGAAACTCTGAATCATCTCTGTCAATTTTTGTCATGCGGGAGCAAATGTTTTACATTTTGCTTTTTAGAATGAGAATAAACTTTTACTAAATACAGTGAAGACTTTAAAGAAAGTTAGATTTTATATTTATTATTTTATTTTTTTATAATGATGACTTAACTAATAATTTTAACAAAATCGAATTTTTAAATTTCAAAATACAATAAAATGAATATTTACATCATTTAAATTACTTTTGTAACTGGAAGTACGTGTCTAAGACTGTTTGTGAAAATAATGGCCGCGTAAAAACTTCTATAGACGCACTGCATAGTTTATCGAAAAACCAAAAATTATGATAATTGTTAATTTATAATGGGAATAATGTTCAAAACTGCTTTGCGGCCATGTTATCTAACACATGATGAGTAAAGTACTCTTGTATTGGTAATTTTAACTCTGATTCGATTGAGTTTCGATTATGCCTCCAAAGGTTTTGACTATCTCTCCAAACAGAAATTAATTTTTCTTAAATTTCATGGTACAAATTGATTTCATTTAATATACAAATCTTAATTTTAACTTTAGATACTTTTCACTAAATTTCTTTTAAAATTTAACAAGTTTACAGAAAATATTAGCGATATTTATTCTAATAACTTTAAGCACAGATTACCATCTAGTAGCATGGGGATAGTGAGTGACTGGAGAATTACTTTCATATGACTGTAATCTAGGCAAACAAAATTAATTATTACTAAAAAAAGTTTTCCGAACATCTGTATATTTTCATACATTTAAAATCTTTAGTTTTGAGACTTAAATGTCAGTATGACTAAAAACTATCTACGGTGAACTTGTTCTAGGCTTGAGTACCTACAATGTTCCCATTACCATGAGTTACACATATTCAATCTTAAAATTTGATGATATAAATTTTTCTCTAAAAGTCTGGTGTTTTGTATTTCATTATCTAATATTGTCTATGGTCTAGGTGTCCCCTATCTGCAAACTATTTATGAAGATTATTTGATTCTACCACAACATACTACTACAGAAATCTTGCAATAGCTAATATTTATCAGTCTAGATAATTTCTTTATATTAAGTAATTGCTTCTTGCAACATATCAGCGACCCGATTGGAACGGCTTGATTTAAACTAATCCTTCAGGGGTTCTTAGTCATTTTTATCCCCCCACGTGTCCCTTTCAGCACTACTTGGCTATCATTTCCCTCTTTCTTTTCAAAACTTGAAAAATATATATGCATTTATCTAAATTTAGATTACGTGTTTTACAAATTAAAGAAGAAAAAGTGTAGAAAACAGAGATAAGTAGCAAGTAAATAAAAGGCTGACCGCATGCCCCACCTGAAGCTATAAAATCCTCCCCCAGTTGGGAACCCCTGTTATAGAGCTAAACTGCAACTGGCTTAAAGAGCAGTTGAAATCGTTCAAGTTATTTGGAAATATAATAAAATAATTTCTTAATTTAAATATAATATCTACACATTTTAAAGTAAAGTGTAATTTTTACCCTTGGCTGATGTTTGAATATACTAATGTATAGGTGAATGCATTTTTGCAAATTTTCATAATCTGAAATGTTAGTAACTGTTTCAATACAATGAATATTGTTTTGTTATATAATGCAATTGTTTTAAATACTTTGAAATGTTTCATCCCTTTCAGAACTCAAGGAAAAGTAGAAACTATAAATATTCAACAACTTATCACTTTCCTGAACGATGTAAGTTTTATCTTCAATTTCCAATATATTTTTAAACCTGGATTTACTTATTTTATTGGAAATATCTCATAGAATATATTTATGACAAAAGAGTTTTAAACCTGTAGGTTTTCATCATTGTGTTTTTAATAAAAAAGTTAGATGAATTAAATGTGTGCCATAATCTATTGCAATAATGTTTTGCAGTATCTAAGTAATTCACGACAACGTGCAAATATGAGTAAGTATAGTTAACGTAGTATCAAGATCATGCTCTCTTTTTTTATACTGAGATTGACCGATGAGGTTAAAGGGGGGAAAAGATTTAGTTTTCTTAAAGTTCCAAAACCATGGTATTAAAATTATTTTCATCGTCAGACATAACCTCGCTTTCCAATTGAGTTTACTTTGATAAAGAGGTAGAAGCTGCTTAACTATTCACTTATTGAATGCAAAAAGGCTAAAACAGTATACAAATTCAATATGAAAAAATACGAAAACGGTAAAGTAGGGAAAAATTTATCAAAATGGAAAATTGATCAAAGATTATGATCAAAATGAAAATGAGTGAAAATTAAAATTAAAAAAAAAGGTTTAGAAAAGTACAAGTTCTATCAATTGTAGTGGGAAAAAAACGAACTCCCTAAAAATAATGAAAGCTTTTTTATTTTATTTATTTATTTATTTATTTATTTATTTAGGGGGGGGGGGGTAATTTTTTTTTTTTTTTTTTTTTTTTTTTTTTTTTTTTTTTTTTTATTTTATTTTATTTTATATTACGCCCAAAGGAGCGCTTTTTTAACGTTTTGTGTGTTGACTTTATTTATTAAATAATAGGTTCTTCGCACTACAAAATATTTAAAAACTGCATATCATAAGAATTTCCGATACACAGTATAGCGAGCAGGAGATAAAAATGTTTTTCGTGGTACAATGTTGCCACTGTCCGCTTTGAAATCGTTGAGTTTATTAATCAAAATATCGTTAAAGTTTTACAAAATAGGAAATTTATAATACAAAAAATTCGGGCTTCCAGGTGCCCATGTTCGGGTGGAGGATTACGTTATTCAAGATTTGATGGCTCTAGATACCGGCGTTTTTTCATATTGCGAGAAACATACATGCATACATTCATGCAGATTCTTTATTATTTAATTTCTTTAAATATATAATACAGAACGATAATATTTGGCGGCAAAAATTTTAGTAGTGATTCGCCGTATATAGTGAAACACGACAAAATGCCGTTTTGTGATTAACAGCCCTTCTGAGTTAATGCTTCTTTGAGATAATAATGTAAGAAATAATGAGTATCTGAGTACATTTTTTATTGAACTTTGAAAGGACTTTTCAAGGATTTTTTTGTACATATTTTTGTTTGACGATCCGATCTCACAGGATTTAAATCTTTCGGTCCTTAATCACCAAAATTAAGCTGGTTTCGAATCTATAATTTACTGATTTTCAGCAGTTTTTAAATTCACATTTTCAGGTTTTTCGTAATTATTCAAGATTTTTCATCTTCGATGTGCCAACAGTTCGTTCTGTTTATACTTTGCGTAAGCAATGTGCAGTCCTAAATGCAATACGATTTTATTTCCAATTTAGTGTTATAAATAGAATTAGTTTCTCTTTTAAATTCTCTTAATTAACTTGCTTTGCATATCGATTTATCAACTCTTAGATTTCGAAATTTATGTAAAAACTGAGAATATGCGGCATAAGCAAAACTGCTTTGGGGGAGCTTAGTGATATCATAAATTAGTGGAACCTAGCTTGTGACGTCACAATGTATTCTCGCATTTTATACTACATGTAATTTACTATTTTCTACTCAAAATAATAATAAACAGTTGATTATTGCTGTAAATAAACATTAAACTCTTCACTTCAAATTTACATTTCTAACAATTAAACTGCGGTTTTACCGAAATTAAGCATAATATATTGTTTATTTTAAATTAACGTGCTAGGAAAATTCAGTTCTACCATTTATTTAAACGATAAATAACGTTGCAGTCTCATGTATTTGTATTTCTTGCAACTTCAGTATAAGTTTTTTAAGCTTTCACATTAATAAAAATAAGAAAAACGTTTTTAAAATTTAAATTCTTGTCATGGAACATTTTAATTGTTTCGTTTTCGTAAATGGCTTTATTGTTACGCAACGTGACAATCCCTTCCATGCCATTAAGCAGAAAATGTTCATTTTGTATAAAAACTTTAAACTTTAGCATTAAAGAAAAAAGGCAAATCATTCTTTTACTGCAACAGAGCATCATACACAGCTTTCATTTCATGCTTCTTAAATTCTTAAATAGCGTCATATTTTCTTTTCGCATATCAGTATTCATGCAGCAATAACTGGAAAAGTCTAATTTCCCACAATATGGGAAATAAGATAAGGAAATAAAAAACACAAATTTGAAATAATACTCAATGTTTCTAGCATAAAATATAATAGCATGTGCAAATACGGAAACAATTACAATGCATTAAAATAATATCGTAACGTTACTTATCGAGTGCAATATGCAATTTTTCCACTCTTTTATGCAAAGATGGTCAAACTCTGGATATTTATTTAAAATCGGAAAACATATCAGGCGAAAATAATTTAAAATGCAATTAAAAATAAAAAGGGGTGATTAAAAATGCAATTTAAAGTATAATTGATAATTGACAATACAATTTACAATGCTACAATACAAATTAATAATACGCAAACGATATATTAAAAATTGTTCATAATATACAATACATTACTGTTGTTCTACCCATGTACACAGCGATCTGTTTTCACTAAAAAAATCAGAGAAAACAAACTCGATATCTCGAAAACTTGGTATCACGCACCAACCATGATCATCATTCCCTTATGACAGTTGAAACTTCAAAGTATACTCCAACGTAATGAATATGAAAGAGGGGTTCCGTTTAAAAATAAGCCTTTTTAAAAATAACAAATTCCAATTAGAAACACAGAACAAATGACCGAGAGAGAAATATCCCACAACTCTATTGATTCGAATTATTAAAAAATAATGTTTCCAGAATAATCACAACGAAAATATGGTTACTAGAATAAAGTCGTTGAGAAAATACCTTGTAAACTAGCAGGATCTGTTTGGTATACTTCAGAGAACACAGAGAGAGGTGCATCCGTTTTATTCTTCTGAATGCATTTCAGAACTTGGTGCTGCAATATTCATTTCCAAAATATGTGAATTTTATGCCAGGATAGAATCAATGCAGATACTATTAATTTTTTTCTGATCATTCATAGAATTTAAGAGAACATAATCAAAGAAAAATAAAAAATAGTATAATTAACTATCTTTGAACAAAAAGTACCGGTTTGATAATGCTGTGCTGAGCAAAGTTGTGAGGTGTACAAATAAAAATTTTTTCAGTTATCGCGTATATTTCTGATCCTGTTTGATTCCCATATTGCTCGCACTTTCAAAATTGCTCTCATCCCCCCCCTTAAAATCGCATGCACGTGGATAAAACTTTGAAAACCATCGTCCTATGTCCTCAGTACCTCCCATTGGAAACGGAAAATGCAATTCATGTTTTGTAGGTAGGCCGATTAGATTTGAACGTTTTTCTTTTTAGCCTCAATGCATATTTAGCAAATACAGTTTTTATTTTTCAAAGTATTCTAATAAATAAATCTATTATCTCGTGAATTAAAATAACATGCTATATGTGCATATAAATTATGTATATATATATATATAGAAGTGTTCATTCTCTTTTAATACATAATTTTCATTTGTTGTATTCAGAAACAAAGAGATCCGAGACTAAATGAGATTCTGTATCCGAAATACACCGAGAAACGTGCAGCAGAAATCCTCGCTAATTATGAACAAAATGAAGAATTGGTCAAAGAAGGTAAGTTAAAGTGATATTATACCTTACAATTTTAATAAGTGAAATCGAATACCGGAGATTTTCAAATAAGTACTATTTCCTGGGTTGATTTTCTACGTTATGTATGACTGAGTAGGAAATTGCATACTCAATTAATTATTCAGAGAAAGCCTTTGAAGTCTGTTTATGTGGTTCTACGGTACTTCGAAGGGCCATTCTACTAAAACTCCAAAGAAAGGCAGTCGACTTATATTTTTATCTTACATTCTAATTACTATAAACACAGACTGAAGTCTCAAATCAACCTATTTATAAAATAGGTTATTTAACTTGTCAAACTGACCGTTACACAGAACTCATAATTATACCAGAACCTGTTCTCTACAGCTAGTGACAAACCTAGAACAAATGTTCACATCAAATTAAAACAGAAAATACGGATTAGTATGCGTTTAAATAAGCCTTGGATCAGGCTTTTAAGTATTCTCGAAGCAAACTCGGCATGCCGAAACTAAAGTCGATAAATCAATTTGCGCAGGTAGGAGGTGTAACAAAAGGATTGTCAGCAAAACTATCAAAATCTCTCGCTCTAAAACTCAAAAACATAGCACATACTTTAACTTATTTGCATTCGGATGGGAGTTGACTAAAGTATAAGTTATAGTAAAGCCAAAATAATAACGTAAGAGTTAATTAACATAAAATTTTATATGTTTACTAAATAACAGAAAGAAAACCTATTTCTAACGAAAATGACTGAGATTTCGAAAAACTAGCAATGCCTGATAATTTTTCTTTATAAATCAAGAAGTACAATCCTTTTTGAAACTACTATTGTATTAAGTTTTACGTTATGCTTTCCTCTTCTAGAAGTACATTATTTCGCAATCTATGGAAATATCATTGAATTGTAAACTAATTCAGGCAGCTTAACTCCGAATATATACGTATATTGTTTTGGTACATAAATGTAATATATAATGTACATAATGTTTTTTCACCAATAATATACATATGCTAATATTAAAATATTACCTCCTTTATATTAAAATACAATTTGCTCAATAAAGTCAAACAAATAAATCTACATATTTGAAATAATAATTTCATAAGTACATATGTATAAATATTTATTTATTTATTTACTTATTTAATATTTATTTATTGTTCTCTTGAAGTAAAAATTTAGTTCGACTGCATTTCTTAATTTTTCCTTTGACTGCATTTCTTGAAATTTTGGTATCATTTAATAGCTTAATTATTTATCAAATCTAGTTTATCACGGAAGATAAGATTTGAAAAACATTTGTAGCAAGCGTATTCAAAACATTTCAGAAGAAATATTTACCTTTGGAAGGACACTCAGCACACACACACACACACAAAAAAAAAAGGGGGATACATTTCCATATCTCCCGTTTTAATGGGCCGACTGACGAAATTTTACTTACATTTTTCATGTCTTGAAAGCGCGACTCAGGATATATATTAGAGTTATATGCAGTATGGGGCTAACATAGGTATTTTGACATAAAATCGAATTTTTTTCAGAAATGGCATGCCGATGTTTTTCCATATTCAATTTTATGACTCAAATTTTGTAAAATTTAGTGAGATACTTATTTGCAACCACATACTATTTTTAAAAGTTCTGTGCATTTCATTTCTTACCATTTTTTCATGAGGGATATATTTCATTGCTCTCGGTACATCTTTTCGTTTTCAATCTTACACTAAATCTAAATTCACAGCCAATTTTATCCGCAGATTTGTTACTTTATTTAAAATCTCATATTTGATCATTGTGTAGATATTTTATTCTTTCTAATTTATTTATTTATTGTTCTTTGTAAGAATCATTACAATTTATATTTCCTGCATTTAATGTTCTGTCCATCATCTAATTATTTGTAAATTATGTATTATTTTTCGTTATTACTTTTAGGTAAGATGAGCAAGGATGGCTTCATCCGGTACCTTATGTCAGATGAAAATGCACCAGTCTTTTTGGATAAGCTGGATATTTATATGGAAATGGATCAACCGCTTGCTCATTATTACATCAATTCTTCTCACAATACTTACCTCAGTGGACGACAGTTCGGTGGAAAATCATCGGTAGAAATGTACAGACAGGTTCTTCTAGCAGGATGCAGGTATGTCCGTTCTGGGGATTTCGGAGGACTAAAGATGCTGTTTGGAAAGCATATTTGGTAAATTCAAAAACAGGTATAGCTTATCTGACAGGTATATTTAACAAATTCAGTGAATGGTGGTCATAACTTGAATCTAATAACGACCAAAAACATATCTTTGTTTATGTCAATGTTTCAGTTGCAAAAAAATATGTGCAACGAATAGAATTTAGATATTTCAAATGTTTAATTGATAAAAAGGCAAAGGCGTTCTTAAGTATTGCAAATATTTGGAAGATTTCGAATTGAGCTTCAAGAATAAAAATGGATGTACCCGATTAAAGTTTCGACCTGTGCAATTTCAAGATCAGAATCATATCCAAACTTCGAAAAATAATTTATTGAATAAAGAAGAAATGAAATACTGAAATTTAAATTTAGGTCTGGATATCAACAGTTTTTGACTGCAGAAGCAGATTCCTGAACTTTATCCTAGTTTATAGATTACTGTACTTATGGCATTCCCTTTATCTTATTTAGTGGAATGTGAATTCGGTAAAATGACAACTCTTATAATTAAAAAAAAAATTAGCTGCAGGTGGAGATTTTGTATTTTTTTAAAAAATGGAGTTGAATGTTTATAAATTGGTGGAGTCTCATCATGCTTGTCCTTCTCATTATATTTATTTTGTTACTATTTTAGTTTGTATTCTTATCCTTTAGATAATTTAGTTAAATATGATTGTGTATTTACTGTTAATTTCATTTATTGTTAATTTAACACATAAAGTAACTGTATCGTTAGTAATTTTTCCCTAACACATTTTTCTAAAAAATATAGATGTGTATTAGAAGAGAGACGTTAAGCATTTAATTTGCACTAAAAGTGGGCGATAAATCCAAAAGATCTGAAACACACTAAGTTAGATGAATGGATGTTTTCAAAAAAAGAACAGGACTTTTTTTTTGAATGAAATTTTCAAAAGCAGACCAAGTTTATAGCTCTTGACGAAAACTGCTTTAAATAAAATGATTTTATTTTAAATTAGTTTATGAAAATGTAGTTCTTTTATGTACGAAAAATATCGCAAATCTTCCGCAAAACTAATTCATTTAAAAGAAATAATACATATTTGAAAATTAGTGTAATTTTTTTTCATAATGTGTAAAATAATTTTAACTATTCGCATGCAGATGCGTGGAATTAGATTGCTGGGATGGAAAAGGGGACGATGAAGAACCGATTATTACACACGGCAAAGCCATGTGCACTGATATTCTTTTCAAGGTAAGCTTACACATAATGAGATATTAGAAAATTTTGCTTTTTTGTTGATTAAGCTTAGAAACTTTCTTTGCCAGTTTCATAAATCGTCATTACTAGAACTGCGGTTAACGAATCTTAGAAATTTTTGGAAATGAAATGATTCCAATTATGGAATTTGTTGCTACTATTTTGTATTATGTTTTTATTTAGAATAATTTTCTTTTACGTTCATAGATGCTGTAAATACTATCCTAACAAAAGAAAGGTTATGAAAAATCTAATAAAGTAAATATTTACATAAATTTGCATAATACATATTACATACAGACCACTCTTTATGAGTTGATTCCAAATATCTGTTCACTCAGAGCGTTGAAATGAAAGAAGTCAATACTGGTGATAACAGTCTACAATGATTTTACGCCTTTTAAAAATACTTTTTAATTTATACATACTGCAAAATTAAAAACTTCTTTGTGAATAAAAATGAATTTTTTCATGGGATACAACTTCAAATGGACTGTACGAACCCACAATGCACAACTTTTAGATAAATTGTAAGGATTATGTTAATTTTATTAACAGTTAAATTTTGAGTTAAACTTCCTTTCCTATTGCTTCTTAATTTCAACTTACCACTGAAAACATTTGAATGATATGAAAGGTTTAGATGTTATATGGTTAGAATAATTTATTAATGTGATTTTCCTGAGGGAAAAAATGCATTTTTGATCTGCTATTTACAATAGCTTTTATCGAATTGTGCAAGTGTCATAAGGTTGATTACTGCGTATTTTTACAAAATCAGTTGCCTGTACGTAATAAATTAATTTTAAATAATTATGTAATAATGATTGTAAATGAGACTGAGTTTAATGAGTATTTCATGAAAATGGTTATGCTTTTATAATTTTAGTAGGATTTTGAAAACAAGTCATTTGTCAATTCGACTAAAATATTCAATATCAACCCTTTTTACCTATTTCCTAGGATGTTATCTATGCTATAAGAGACTGTGCGTTTATTACATCAGATTATCCAATTATTCTTTCATTTGAGAATCACTGCTGGTACGTAAATTTTTTATGTGTCTTATTTGTTTTATTTATTTTATATAAGGATACTCTTATGTTAAAAGTTAATTTTCTAAATTTCTGAATTTAATATTCTATTATTAGCTATCCACTTTCAAGTACTTTATGACTTCAATATATTTTAACAATTTCATTTTAAAACATAACACATAGAGTTTCAGTCAGAAACATATAGTGATTATTCATAATCGTATTTATTATTAATTAAAAGGTCCTTCATATTCATATGTTTCAATACTTTTACGATCTATTCATTTTTATTATAGTGTTGAAGATGGTTCATAAAAAATTTAAAAGCTGAATTAGATATCCTATTTATTAAAAGCATTAATTATAAATTTTATAGTAATATGGTGGGCAATTTTCTTGAAGATATGAGTAAAAATAAAGCTTACGTTTCTATTAATATAAATTAATATAGAATCCAAAATAAGTTACAAAATTAGCTAATAAGGATGGGATAATTTAAATAAGTAAAGAAGCACAATAAAATATTTTAAACAAAAATTTATTATTCATAGTATATCAAATTTTATTAAAATTGTGCTTTATCCATTGGTAATATTGATACTCAAAATTCCCGTTACTTAAATGTAAAATTTCAGTGAAAATATTCTAAAAATTGTACCATCAAGCACTTTGTTATGAATCTTAAGGATTAAGTAGCATGAAATGTAAATTTGATATTATGATTGAATATAATTATAAATTAAATTCTATGATTCTATGAGTTAAACTGTTGAAGATTTCAAAGCAGCAAATAAAAACTTGTAGCCCAAATCAGATTGGCAAATTATTTTAATAACTGAAAACATTATTGTTTTTATGATATCTAAAATTTTATATAAATTCTGCTGAAATAATATGATATTAAACAATGAATAACAACATAACAGAACTGAGCTAAAACAAAATATTGCTAAGCTAATGCCTTAGAAGGAATGTCTTCTAAGAAAAAAAATTGCAGATTACTAAGCTGTTTTTATATGGAAAATATATGTTACCGTGAAAGACCGAAATTGGAGAATGTCGATTTTTACCGGAGAATATCAACATTCACCATACGTCGGTGAAAGACCGAATATTTAACTACATTCTTGTATATTCGAACCCTCACCGGTGTATGTCGACAATCACAGATATGTTCTGGTGAAAGTCGAAAAGAGAGATCATAAAGTGCCATAATAGTTTAAGTTGTTGCAATAAATAGGATTTGAATCATATAATTTAGTAAGTTTTTTATTACTGTTATTTTATTTTCTCATTTAGAACGTACTGTATAATTAAGTAAGTTTTTAACTTCTATTATTTTCTTTTCTCATTTTGAATGTATTGTGTTTTAGGTTCTCATGTTCTTAAGTTCTTATTTCAAGTTTCAAGTGCGTTTATTCGCGACTGAATTACGGAGAAGAAAATATAATATTGTTATATATTTAACATTGACCATTAATTAGTACATGGTGAATGTCGACATTGACCGGTGTAAGTCAGAAATAAGAGTATTTGGAAAATATTTCGGACATACACCAAGAGACTATGTGAATGTTAACATTCACCGGTGAAAGTCGACATTCTCCAGATTTCAGTGTTTCACCGTAACATATATATACAGAATTTATGCATTATTTTTTCAAACTGAAATACAGGTCAGGATTTATTTGGTACCTAGTATACTTTGATTTAACTATACATGGATTTTATAGTTGTATATACTTTAAGCCTAACATTAACTTGTTATATAAAATATATGAGCAAAATGTTATTGATTATCACGTAACGTTCGTAATAGCAAATAAGTAAATAAATAAAACAAGAAAGATAGGATGTAAAAACAATATTTAACTTTGTTTTTAGCATAAACATCGCTTTTATACAATATAAAGAATTTTTGTTTTCTTTCAAGCAAGAAACAACAGTACAAACTGGCCAAATATTGCGATGAAATCTTCGGCGATTTCTTGCTGAAAGCACCCCTGCCTGGCCATCCGGTAATTCTATCTATATTCTTCATCTTATCTCTAAAGTTTAAAAAGGTTTACAATTTTCAAGGATGATTGATTTGAAAGAGCATAATAGCTTTTCAGACTGTTCTTATAATTTCAAAATAACTGAAAGCAATGATTTGAGTATATTATTGAGCCATCTGCCTACTTAATTCTAAAAATGAAAAGATTTTGGAAAATAGTAATATATTTATAAACTTCAGTTCCCGCATATTTTTGGGATTATTTCTGTAAATTATATATTTTTATCTTTCTATGGTAATTTTATCTAATATGTATTTTAAACTAGTCCTGTAAAAATTTGAATATAAAACTCTGATTTTTGTTGTTTGACTTCTAAATTAACGTATTTCTTTGTCACTGAAATTCATAATTATAGATGACGTTCAAAATAGCAACCGAAAGTTTCTCTTAAAACAGACGAGCAAGAATGTTCACTTTGTGTAGGGTGTTTCAGGAAGATTATTTGTCTCGATATCCCTTGAATGACTGACTGGTTCTAGATTCATGGATCTACTTTAATAAAGGAATCTAATGGGACTATAGTGACATCTTTCCGGAGCAGGAAATATCAAAAGTCAACTATGACTCACCGAAATTCGAACCACGAGTCTTCCATTTGTTAACTGCAGTTGCTATTTGTTACAGCATGCACCAAGGAATTCAGAAATCGCTTACATTTTCTCTCACTTAAAAGATGAATGGGATGATGAAGCATAAGACCCAGTAGATCAAATTCGAATGGGAACGAATTATCCTACACCACATTTAGTTCCTATTAAGATTCCGTTGTAAAGATAGAATTTTTGGAGAGAAAAATTTGAGAAAGCAATTCTCGCCTTTCCGGGATCCCACGGGCTTATCAATGTTAGACAGACCTATCAATTACATCACGGCAGCACGCACAGAGGAATGCGATAAGTCCTTATATACTACTCTACTTTAAGGGCGACTGGAGAAAAGCACCAGATTCATTTGACTGATCCAGATAAAGACGTGTTACCGCTCATAATATTTTTATTCGAGTGCCACTAGGTAAATATTTTTACTGTGAGAATTTCATTCATATGACATTTTTTATTAAGAGAATGCAAAACTTATACATGATTTGTAGGGGGAAAACATGTTTTAACGATAATAATAATTAGTATTATTGTTATTTATTAAGAAAGAAGATATTACGAAAGAAGATATTATTAATAAAATTGTCAGGCGCCGTATACAGGTAATTCTGAAAACATCTACACATGCAATGTAAATTTTTAAAGTATCTTATACATCAGAAGACAGGAACAGAAACAGTTAAGTGTTTCGTTTAAAGAAAAATTTCAATTCGAAGCGTTTTTGCTTATCATAATTCTGACTTCATACGGCCCTTAAAATATGTTTTCAATTTAGTTCAGGTATAAAGAAATTCTTTTAGGTCATAAAATTTTGATATTTTTTTCAGAGCAAATTCTGTGATTTTCAAAGGCGAGTTTTTAAAAAAATAATAGTGTAAGGAACCAAAGGTTGATCTGTAACTTTCTTTATAAGTATGTATAGGTAAAAATATAAGTTTTATA